AGACACCCTGTATATAAGCTAATTTATGCAATTGATATCTATTATATCTGTCTTTTTGTAGGATAAATGTGCGGTAATTGTAGTGATGGGTGTGTATAAAGAATTTCCTCTTACACTGCTAGATAACGAAAGAACGCTTGGGTTTACCAGGTCGTTTGTGCTCGAGTTATTTGATGACCAAAGTAGAGCTGTGATCACAAACGAACAATTGCACGTATATAACGCGTTGAGCTATCAGGAAAGGAACGCGTTCCAAGACCCGAGGGTCCATACAGAAGTCCTCATTCCGCAGGAAAGCGTTTTAAAAGCACAGAATGAGGCCGAACATGAAGAGCTTGTCTTCACATTGGGGCAAATTACAAAACTAAAAGTCGATTGGTCTAGAAAGTAAGAATAAAAGTTTTGTGTCATTAAGTGGATTTTTGACAGATAGAAACAGTTGACTGTCATCGTTTCAGCTGTCGACACACTTAATTACAAAACTTTTTGATCATATATATGTTATAGTAAAAATTGGAAATCAGTGATTATTCACAATTACTAGTAAAAGCTCACATTCACTGATTTGCTAAGACTACGCCAGTAAAAGTTCAATAGCTAGTTTTGAAACCAACTTTTACTAGTGAATGCTAGCATTCCCTGGACGATAGCAGTGAGTTTGAAAAATTCAGTTAGCGCGGTTGTCACATGTTGTAAAATATAAGGATAAGTTGAATAATAGGCAATATAAGGATAATAATAAATTGAGCTAAACGTTGGCAACGTTGCCAGACATCTGGCATAAATTCGCTTTGTTTTTTGTGGTTATGTATAATTGTTTTGTTATCGTTGTAAAAAGTGCTATGCGGAATTTTCCCTATGGAAGAAATTTTCTGTGAAATAGCTTTTACTGGCAATCTTTAGTAAATGCTACTTAGTGCATTTTATTTTGACTAGTGAATGTTAGAAATTACTAGGAAAAGGCGACAAATCTCTTTAAAATACCACATTCACTGGTCCAATGCGTAATTGCTAGCATTTCCTAGTGAATGTTAACAATCACTGAATTTCCGACTTTTACTGTAACATATATATTTATTAATTTTTAATGTTTTATTCTGTTATTTTCCAGATGTTTAGAAGAATGCAATTATGTCTTGAAAGAAGCTATTGAACTCTTTGTAGATCTGTACAAAGCAGATAAGTTTCCTAAACACGCATTTGTAGATTAATATTTTTTATCGAATAATACTTTTTTCTGTCTTGTATATGTGTATATTGTATGTTGTGAACGATGAGAAGCTTGTGAAAAGGGAAATAAAATACTAAAGGTACTCCTATTTATAAGAACGTTTTTTAATATTCTCTATGAACACCCTGTGTGTTTTAATTTAATAAATTTGTTTTTTTTGTCTTTGGTTTATACAGGGTCCTAGAATAAACGACTTGGGAAAGATGTATTTCAGGAAAATATATTAACTTCTACAGGGTGGCTCAAAAAAGTTTGAGTGGGTCGGGATGATTTTTTTTTAAATGGAAAACCCTGTATATTATTGCAATTTTCGATATGAATAAAATATGTTTCGATGGTTTCAGAGATATTAATATATATATATATATATATATATATATATATATATATATATATATATATATATATATATATATATATATATATATATATATAATAAATAAATAAAAATATATATTTTCAATCCCTTCATTAAAAAAATTATTACAAATACTAGAACTTTCCTGAAATCAAAACTATATTAGGCGCGATATATCTGCGTAATCTGCGTAACCGTTAAAAATTTTGAGATACTCTAATACCATTTTTAATTCCATTAAAAAATCGAAGAATAATTATTTTGTATTTTAGAAAGTTTGGCGTAAAATTTTGTACATCCTGTGTGATTTAAGATTACTATATTTATAGCAAAGTAAGTACAGACCATCTAAAGTAAATACCTAATTTAGGTTTGATTTCATGACAGTTTTTGTATTTGTAATAATTTTTTTTAATGAAGGTTGAAAATATATATTTTTTATTTATTTATTAATATTTCTGAAACTCGAAATATATTTACTCATATCTTAGGATTATGTAAAGTGATCTGAAAAGAAGGCAAAAATGCAATAATATACAGTGTGTTCCATTAAAAAAAATCATCCCGATCCACTCACACTTTTTTGAGCCACCCTATAGAAGTTAAAATATTTTCCCGAAATACATCCTACAACATACTTTAGATTTGCACTTAAACACAATTTTTAAGTCTTAATGGAAAGTACGCCTATAAATAAACAAATAATTTTAAATATATTTTCAAAATTTTTGTAAATACATTTAAAGAAAATGTTGTCACGTGTTAGAAATAAAAATAATAATTAAATTCGCATAAAAAGAGAAAGTTGTCATTGATAAACGGCCAGCGAATTGAAAGTATCAGTATTCTGTCTTTGTTGTAATTACGCGAAGAAATGAAAGTTAAACAAAGGTAGAAATATAGACCTTTTTAGGTGCCTGTGTGTGTGATAATTATACGTAAGTTTTTCATAACAAGAATTATTTTGTAAGAGCTATTCGAGTTTATTAAAATTTCAATATTCTTGCAATTATTGACGTTGACTAATAATTTTATTAGGTTCTGGTAATGTGAATTTGTGAGTTATTAGTAACGCGTTTTGGGCTATTCTGGTGCCATACTCTAATAGGTAAGTGCATTAAGTTCTTTAGCATTTAGTATATGTCCCCGATTTGTCTTTACAAGAGGAAAAACTTTTTTTTATTGACATTTTGAGAAAAAGGAATTCTTCATAAATATTCTTCTTCTAAAATGATTAATCCCGTTTATAGTTTTCCAAATTTCCATACCGTCTTAGAGAAAATTAAAAAAAAAAACATGAAAACATTGTTGAATTTCATTCTTTGGTAGATGATTATTATTAATTTTGTTTAAAGTCATATTTTATGCTGTTGTTAAAAATATCCAAATTCAGCTATATACCGGGTTATTCACCACATACGACACGGAATATTGTAGCTAAACGATTAGATTTTTATAAATTGTAAGTTTTGGGTTCGTTGAAGGACTATTAGAGCTACAATTTAAAAATATTTTTACAAGATACAGAGTGTCCCAAATAAATAAAAATATCAACGTTGCATTTTCTTAAATGTATAAACACCCTGTATATTATTACATTTTTAGTTTCTACGATTAAAATAAAGGTAAATTTGATTAAGGTTTATTACACTTAAACCTTACCGTTTTTGAAATATTTTCAATTTTGTGAAATTGCAGTATAAATTTTAAGGCTTTATTTCTCCGAGGGTATCAAAGTTTTTAATACTAAATATTTACTGAAGTTTATTTATTGATCAGTTATTGTGTTGCAATAATAAAAAATTTACTACCTTATACAGAGTGTCTAAATATTTATTTTAAATAATTATTAGCTTTAAACGGCAATAACTTGTTTAATTTAAATGGAACACCCTGTATATTTTATGAGAATCAGATGCACAATTTAATTGTCTATCAAATTGTATTATTACCATCAATATCATATCTCTTCAAGTTTCCGTAGAAAATGCATTTTCTGGTAATTTAGAACTCATTTATCAATATACCCATGGAATACTGACATTTTAGACTATTTTTAAAGATGTACCAAATTTTTAAAGAGTACAGATACTAATATTGTCGATATAGTTCGTTTATTTCATTAAAAAATAAAAAAAATGTTTAAATATTTAAAGAGGACCAATTAATATGATTCCAGTATTCAAACTACAGTAATTGACTGTTTGCGTTGATTAATAATAATTGCTCCAAATACTAAAAAACTGAATTATGTATAATAGTAGAACACCTTAAAAATGATATTTCATTTTTTGACAAATTCTTATTTATAACAACGGAGACGTTCATTTTCATAACTTATTATTAATATATTGATTTCTGATTCAAATCCACATTTATTTAGAATAATTTATTAACGAACACAATTAAGTATGTAATTAATTAGTATTTGGGCGGAAATACTGGTGGTATATTTAATTAATGGTATACTCTTTTATAAAGATTTAAATAGTTTTCTTTTTGCATACAAATGGGCTAGTAATATTATCGTTTTAATAAAAACGATAATATTACTAGCTTGTACATTTTGTACCTTTGTTGTTTTAAAAACAATCTAAAATGTCAATATTCCATGGGTATATTGATAAATGAGGTCTAAATTATAAGAAAATGCATTTTCTTCGAAAACTTGAAGGGATAGGTAAAAAGTGGTATAAAACAATTTGATAGACAATTAAATTGTGCATCTGATTCTTATAATATATACAGGGTGTTCCATTTAAATTAAACAAGTTATTGCCGTTTAAAGCTAATAATTATTTAAAATAAATTTTTAGACACTCTGTATAAGGTAGTATAATTTTTAGTATTGCAACACAATAACTGATCAATAGATAAACTTCAGTAAATATTTAGTATTAAAAACTTTGATACCTTCGGAGAAATGAAGCCTTAAAATTTATACTGCAATTTCACAAAATTGAAAATATTTCAAAAAAAATTTTTTTTTAAATTGTTGGTCTAATAGTCCTTCAACGAACCCAAAACTTACAGTTTGTAAAAATCTGTATTCATGTTTTTTTTTAATTTTCTCTAAAACGGTATGGAAATTAGCAAAATTATAAACGGGATTAATTACTGTAGAACAAGCAAAATTTTTAATTTTTCTCAAAAAATCAATAATAAAAAAGTTTATCCTCTTGTAAAGACAATCCGGAGACATACTGTATATCGTTTCGTTTATCTTTTGAACTAGCGTACTAATAAGATTTTTCATTAAAATATCTTGAAATTAAAACACGAATAGATTTATATTGTTTAATTTTTTCACTATAATTTTTTTGTTGTCTTTTAGTATAATCCCTTTTTAATTGAAATATAAATTTAGTTTAAAACAATGATATTGAAAAAAAAACGGCGCTAGTGTTGGCTTGGAAATAGAGGATCGTTTTAATTTTTTATGTAAAATTATCTGGTTGTGTATCAAATCGAAGCCGGTTTTTTTCGATTATACATCTCTGTAACAACATTTTTTTATAATTTTAAACAGTTTTTTTCATAATCAAATGCAACGGCACTTTAACTCTTAGCAATCTAAGACATGAAAAAATAATATGATCATGATTCTTAAACGAAAAGCCGATTTTTAGCGGAGGAAAGAAAATTGAAATCTTCATGTTTTTAACCTTTGTGAAATATGTCACTCACTAAAAATCGTCAGAAAATGTCTTTTATACTCCTTTACCATAGTTTATACAGATTATAGACTTTGTTTTTTCTTTATTGTTTTTCGTGGTTCCAATTTTCGGAATCGGGCACTAGTTAGGTTACTAGTTTGCGCATATAGCACCCCCACTTATGGCCTCTACAGTCATTAGAGAGATATCGCAAAACCGAATAGCGTCATGCAGTATTTACGCGTACCTTATCATGGTTACGACAAAGACTATAGTTACGATATGCGCGAGTCAATTTTTAACGCAACACCCGCTAATAACGTTACCGCCTGGCTTAATTTGCGGATCAATTACACCAAGCGCTATTTCTAAACAACGTTTAAAAATTGCTTAAATGGGCATGTGCGGGTATTTGACAACCAGGGCCGGCCGGCGAGATCGTTTATTTTAGGTTATGTTTGAATTGTTTTGAATTATTACTTTAGTTTTATTAGGTAATTTGATATTTAAGTAGCTGGGATTAGTTTTAATTAAATAAATATGGCCCAAAATATGGATTCCACCTCTTCCAATACAAGAACCTATAAAGGGTCTTAGGTTTACAGCAGATGACGACTTAGCCCTTCTAAGAGAATTTGTTGTTTGTTGCCCTAAACCCACTGGCAGACGTTGAACAATAAAGCACTAGAAATAAGCACTTTAGCCCTTTAGTTTTAAAATACCTAGTAAACAAAACAATTTCAAAGTTTTAAATTCAAAGTTAGGTTAAGTTTAAATAGCGGACCCGACGCGAACAGAGTTCTTTCCGATCCGATAACTATAAATGAAGAGAGTTAATACCACCTCACGTAAAGGAAATAATACCTGACCTTATTAACGTCCATGCACGCTATTCGGTTTAGCGATATCTCTCTATTACGCTGTTTATTGTTATTTTACGCGAGTTTATTTTTGCGCACAGGAAATTTTACTCGTTTGCACATCGTCATAAAAAACAATTTTCGTACCACGAATTAGGGACAAGATTTTTAGCTGTATACTTATAGGATACCTAATCTGTACCTTTACACTAAAGAATTTTTTAGAATTTTTTGAAGTGGCGGAACAATATGAAAAAAATTAAAAACTCATTTTTTTAAATCTTCTCGGACTCATTTTTTTATAATAATCTTTATTCTGACAAGGATGATGTATTTTTAACGAAAAAATATTTTCTAACGCACTTTTTTAAACTAAACAAAAATATGAGTTAGTTAAAACAGATTTTAGAAAAAAAATGAGTTGTTAGTTTTTTTCATATTGTTCCACCACTTCAAAAAATTCCTGAGTGTAAATGAGTATAAAATACATTTTCTGACGATTTTTAGTGAGTGACATATTCACAAAGGTTAAAAAAATGAAGATTTTAATTTTCTTTCCTCTGCTAAAAATCGGCTTTTCGTTTAAGAATCATGATCATATTATTTTATCATGTCTTAGACTTCTAAGAATTAGAAAAAAAATCATCATTAATTAATTTTTAATTTTACTATAAAAATAAAAAAAAAAATTTAAAGAACAGGTTTTTTTGAAATCTCGAAAACATTCTCGAAAACGAGTTAAAAAAGCCGCGGGGGCAGATTTCCCATATTAATCCCTTTCGTTTTTTTTTATCTAAAAAAGAAAATAAAAAAGTTATAGGGGTGAACCACTTGAGAATCAAACATTTTCAAAATAAAGCATGGTCTAATATTTTCTAGGAAAATGTTGCTGTATACTGTGTTTTTCATAGTTTTCTTTGCATATGTTTGTCACTGTTTTCCGCATACCTCTACATATACGCTGCCAGATGTTTATGGTCCACCAGATACAGATTCGAATCAACCACCAGAACAAATTTTAGAACCTTTGGGAAAATTAGGAGACGCAGTCGATGCAAAGATTGATCAAGCTGTAAACGCAAAAGTAAGTTTTATACGAACAATATAATTAGGGTGTATTCCGGTGCTTGCCTTGGTTATGGTTTTATGTTCCGTTTCTATCGGTTTCCTCCTTTGAATAAGAAGACTAAGGAAGGAGCATAATGCTATCCATGTATTCATGCATGGTGGGCGGAAAAAGGACTCTAGAGTGGGGATCCTTGACAGTTCTGTTTGACGATTTATTTGACACATTTGAAGTTGATTTGAAATTTTGTGGATTTGTCAGTCTTTACGGAGCTTATTTTATTTTATTTATTATTTATTCTACTACTGATAGTTGTATAACGGTAGTAAATCTAGATGGAAATTGTGGCAGATCTTAAATTAACAGTGACACTATCGCGATTTATCGAAAAAGACTCTTGAAAATAGTTGGTTGTGTAGCGTGCGGTAGATCTCGGCAAAAATCGAGTGAAATAATGGAACAACTTTTCTTTCACTTTTTTATGAAATTCACTTAAATTAACTAATTATATATTTTTTTCTTGCATTTTTGCTTTTATTTACTACTTGTCAAAGATTAGATGTCAAAGAATTTAGATACGTCAGTTTGACTGACCTGCTTCAGTAGCGTATCGGATGTTTGTGTTAATAAATACTTATTATAACTTATCTATTTTTATTAGAATTTTATATTTATATAACAATTTTAATAACTACCAACATTTATTCACAACGTAAAATAAAAAAACAAATTATTGAGTCTACTTCACGTCTACCCTATATCATAGTTTTACATTTTTTAAATAAAATTAGAACGGCACTGATAAACAGGAATTTAAGTCGGCCATATTTGAGTCCCTTCGCGGTGGACCTAAGATTTTTGCTATGCTCCTTCCTTAGTCTTCTTATTCAAAGGTTTCCTGAAAGTTTTCTTATTACGGAATATGGTTCCTAAAAAATTCGGTTATAACTGTCACCAAACTAACCAGCGCGAGAAGGCTGGGTTTTCTGATTTTGTTTGTCAATCAATGTCATTTATGTGACAGAAATCAACCAAATATTGGAAGTTCGAGTGAAATTCTCATTTAATTTCTAAAATCTGTTATAATATTTTGTATTTACATCCAAAAGCAATGGAGGTAGGCTGCAAAGGTAAATAAATTTCATTAACTAAATAGTATGACTTTTTAGGACCATTTAAACTTATCATGCAGCCATTGTTTCTTAAAGTCAGGAACATTTATAGAAAACATGAAAAACAAGACAACAAGTAATCGTGAATGTTTTGTAAGCTATAAAAATATAAATATTAATTAGATTTGTTTATTTATTATTGATCTGTTTTAATATTAGACCTGCAATCTTCACTTGAGCTGTTTAACGAATTTAACAGTTTATTAATAAAGTACTTTTCAATATTAAACTCCATTGAACAGAAGAAGCAAACGTAAAAGCAGAGAATAGGTACATTAAAAATGCATAAAAGATAAATTTAATAGAGGTATTGAAATTTAGAAAACGTTTACAATATTTTACCAAACCGTTCCGTATCAAAGTGATGTTTTTCAGGAACCGCTCTTTACCGTAGTTTACCGGTCTGGTTCGCCTGGTTTTGCAATGGAATAGTAACAATTAATAGTAATTAGTAGTAGCCATCTATTGTTATACAGGGTGTCCCAGGAATAAGTGCAGATATTTTAACAGTACAGTATAATTTGGCCCCAGAAAAACACGCCTACCAATTTTTTTTGCGAAAAAAATTGTTGAAAATATTACATTTTTCTTGACATCTTCCGGGAAATTTTAAAAAAACTTTTTAGTACCACTTGTATATTCATCTCAGATTTCTCTACGGTACACTAAACCTTGCAGTGTTGCCACCTCAACATATTATTTGTATTCACTGTAATTTTTAATTTGTACACAAAAAATTACGAGTTTTAATTCTAATCATATCAGTGTCTATTATTAACAATTATTCTAGAAACAAACTACATTAATTATTTTTACGCCCATGTCACATTTATCGATTGTTCGTCTTTGGCGCTGTTTTTTTTTATCGTGTGGTTTTTTACTTATGGTAATCGCAAAACAAAATCCGATGATCAACTTTGAATGACAAGCGGTGGCGACTGCGCCGCCAGATTGTGATGGATTTATGAGATGAATCTTAATTTAAAATTAATAACTAATATTTTAGCAATTAATTGATTATTGAGACTTATTTTTACTTATTACATATGTATTGGCAAAAATTACTCCATTATGAAGATTATTCTAAGCGTTATTATGGGGTTATTTATTTATTGATGTATGTACATCTTACAACGCCATAAGTGGTAATAACAAGTAAGAGGGTGCTATTAATGCACAAACTAATATTCACAGAATTTAATAAAAACTGACTTTGAAAGTGGTATAATGTGCTTATCAATCAAACTTACTTCTCTGACTCCAGTCAAGGGTAATAAAAGACATTTATTGTCACGTTCTCGTTCAAATTGTTTATCAGGGAAGCTACAAACTCTTTGCTTCGACTGTTTAAATGCTTCGGCATATTTTCAACACACAATTTCAAGAAATGCAATACAAAAACTCGAAAATGTAGTTCTTAAAAGAACTGTTTGTGCTTAAAAGTGCAATTTTGAAAAAAAGACTACGAAAATAGGCAAAAAACGAAAATTGCACACAAAGATTCAACTAATGATATTATACAAAATAATGACTGAGATTAGGATAATTTACAAATAATAGGGACAACATTGCTGAACACGCTGGCGCAATGTGACCAACATAGCGATAATAAAATTCGGTTTAAACTAATTTTGCAGCTTTAATCTAAATAAAATATCTGTTACAATCATTTGCTCTATAAAGTAAAATGAAGAGCTGCTCGGTATCTTAAATTATACAACAAATTTAAACATTTTTGCCAAAATTTCATTTAGTCAGGTTTATAGACTTTAATGTCAATGTCGATATGATGATTGATGACGTGCATCGGAAAATGTTTTGCGATTACTATATTATTGCTATATTAATTAGTGACTTTTTATTTTAGGCTGTAAATTTTGTAACTCCGTTTCCTCCTTCTGGACGAAAGAGTCCTGTGCTGGAATCCTCTGCGAAAGAGTCCATACCTATTCAAGCCGATATTAAATATGGAAATTTGCAACAGTTTGTTGCTGGTTTACTGAATCCTAAGCCATTACTCGATAACATACAAGAACACGAAAAGTATGGAAATGATGGCGGAAAAGGAAGAGCTGTCGGGACATTTTTAGTGGGTGCATTTGAAGGTTTTTCCAATGCCATTAATGCCGCCGTTGATGTAAGCATAAAAAAAATAAATAGAAAAATAATAAAAAATAAAATAAAGACAAAAAAAAATAAAAAATAAATTTATTCTTTTTTCAATTAATAAATATTGGTTTTTCCATAGCAACTGTTAAAATTGCCTTATATCTATCAAAAATAGTAGATAAAATAGTACTTTAACCGCAAAGGTTGATTAAATGATACTTTAACAACGAGGATGGGTTAAAAACTTTATTTCTTCTCGCACGTTTTTTAATTACTTACTGGAAGTAGTTTGGATATGGCGTTTGTCGCCTCAGCCTGAATATCTGTTGGTAATTTACTTATTTCGTTTTGAGCCATTTCTGGCTTCAATTCAATCAGCAATCGACACGAAAGAGAATTAAAAAATATTGACTCAAAACTGACAGCTTTATTTATTTGTCAAATTACATAGAAACCAACGCACGTAATATTTTTTCTACTCGTAATAAATTCCTTGAAATAATAATTTCTGAATATTTTTTAAAACGTAACTCGCTATGGAAAAAAATATTGTTTTATTCACGACGATAAAATACCATTTTATCGTCTTGTATAAAAAATAACTAAACATGCTCCTTTTTTATTTGATAGGTGCCATTTAAAACAGCTAAGACGATTGGTAAGAAACTCACTAATTCTCTAAACCAAATAGGAGGCAAACTTGTTGGATTAGCATGACAGTATTATGTTGTTAGATATTATAAGTATTATATAAAGTTTGTTGAATATTTTTTTAATAAATAGAAAGAAAATATTTATTGAATTTTCAGGTTTCGCTTCTATATAACTGGTGGGGATTATTATTGCTCAGTACACTGCGAGTTTCGTTTTTGTGCTCAAGCCATGATTGTAGAAAACCCTGTCTTTTAATTTCCAGAATGCTCTTGATGAATGAATTTCATAGTCGATATTGGCCTTTTCCGAAATCAAACTGCCGAGGTAATTGAATTCCGCTACATAGTTCTCCGATTTTTGTAGCATTGTTATGATTTTCCGGGGGACTGCAGTTGTTTTTAGTTTTATCGATGTTCAGCTTAAGCCCCAAAGTCTCGTATGCCCATGTATTATATGTGTTCAGCATTTCTTATATGTAATTGCTGTATCGTTTTTGTAACTAGAGCGCAGTCATCAGCGTATTGAAGTTCTGTGATGAATTTTGTACAGGGTGGCTCGAATTTGACGCTCATCATTGGGATTTCGGAAACCGTAAGAGATACAGGATCGGTTAAATGGAGGCAAAGTTGCGCAATTTGATGCGCAATAAAATGCCGTATTGCATTTTTATTTTTATTTTTTTTTGCATAAAATATTCTGGTGATGGAATTTTCTGTACGAAACGTCGGCAAATATCAAAGTGACTATATATAGTGTTTTAAGAGTGATGAAAGGATTTAATTAAATTGAAAAAATATCAGGTCCGTATTTAAAAAAATTAAGTTGATGATGGTCGCCAGAAGTCGAAACGTCAGAGTCAATATTTAATCACACAGAGTTATAGAGCAGAAAAAGTGGCCATGAAAATGTGTTTTTCATTTTAAGTTATCTTAACAAATAAAGCCAGGAAACAGTAGAAAACAAAATTGAAAATTCCGTTTTTTTTTCGAATATATTCGGAAGTATTCGGAATTTTTCTTTGCCTCCATTTAACCGATCCTGTATCTCTACTGTTTCCGAATTCCCAATGATGAGTGTCGAATTCGAACCACCCTGTACATGCTTTTTTTTTTTGCCCTGCGCCATTTTAAGTGTTGAACAGACCGCCGTTGCATCTGTGGTCTAATGCCCATTCATCTTTCCTGCAGTTTACTCTCCACTAGAATAGAGAGCGATGTTGAATAGGAGAGGCATGAATATGTTGAATAGGAGGGGCGTTAAGACACATCCCTGCCTAACTTCTATATTTGTTAGAAGGGATTGCTCAGTGATCCATGATGGGGTCACACTGTGGTTTTTATGGAAGCTTTTACACACTGTAAGAAATTTGTTGGGTACTCCGAACTTTTGCATAATTGCCCAAAGTGAATCTCTGTTTACAGAGTCGAAAGCTTTTGTTAGGCCGATGAATGCAATATGCAGTACTTTGCTGCTCCTCCTTTACTTTTGTCTAACTCTTTACATATATATTTTGTAATAATGCATGGTTTTATGTTGTACAGAATGTAAAAAAATTTACCATTTTACATAGGCTAAAGATAATAAAAAGTCGAATGTTTATAACAAAAATAATTTATTTAAACGGAAACAAGGGTAGATTACTGGCTTAAAAAAGTATCTTTATTTACACTAATTTAAAATGAAGTTTTAGTGAGGTAATCTAAAATAAAGATTGTTTTAAACTAAAGTATTTACATACCTGAATTTAACTAAGATTTATAAAACAAAGTATAGATAGGTTTACCTATGAATGTATAGGTAATATATTTTAAAGAAAAAAAAATAAGTTAAGTTGCAAATAAACAAATCAGTTCTTTTTGATATCACATTACATCAAAATGCATGTTCTTTGAGATTCAGAGACTACAAGTGTAACCTACTGGTACGACTTGTATGTTCGCGATCTTCGCTTGTATTTCACTGTACAGAATAGCAGCATTGAAGCTATCAAACCAAATAACTGAAAACAAAAATGGAAATGAAAAAATTTATCTTCAACTACCATACGATCGAAAACGCGTCAAAGACGGCTGGGGACTGACAATCATTGATCAACCATTTCCAATTATGGTATAGCCGCTCTCACATATTTAGATTACTTTGTAGTTGTGGCCTATTGTTGTCTATTGTTGACTACGCGGGCCCAATTTATCCCTTCGCTGAATTCCCAATATTATGGTTAAGTGATGGGATCACCGAGCAGTAACAAATTCGCTCGAGTATGATTATTAATGAAACCGGACGTCGATTTCTCGAACGAGCGATGCAAGTGACGAGTACTAAGCGACGAACGCAAGCGATCCTAGAATGAAATAAATTGAAATCCGATTTAATGTGACATACTCGATAAAAAGCCGAGCGAATTTTCTACATACATTGCAGGTAGTAAATTTATACGACGCCGTGTATACCGGGTGCGTCTCAAAAGTGGCTCATCCCTATTACTTTTTTATTTTTTTAGATAAAAAAAATGAGATTTGGTATGTTAGTATATGACATAAATTAGGATTGATTGACGTATCAATTGTTTTCTGTCACTTCCTGTTTCACCGGAAATGACTATACTTTTTGATCTTTAAATGGCACCCTCGGTATTTTTTTTACTTTATTCGATAGAAAATGACATTCTAAATAGAATGACGTATTGACAATGACTTCGAAAAAATTGTTGAAAGACTTGCAAGGAAAGAAATGCATATTGGAAGAGAGAGAGTGCGAGACAGATGGAAAGAAAAGCATTTTGCAAGCTAGACTGAGAGACGTTTTGGTGGAGGAAGGTGAGGATCCTGACACATTTTACGGAAGGCTGGAAGGTGACCTTGACTCGTCATTGAAAAATTTACAAGACAATTTAAACGACAATTTGAATAATTTAGAAGATAAAATGATGAAAAATTCTGCGGATTTAATTAACATTTTAGAAGATAAGATCGCAGAAAATTCTAAAGACATACAGGCCAGCTTTAATAATAAAATACTTAATTTAGAAGAAAAGATAACAGAAAATTCCAGGGAATTAGAAGAGAAGATAACAGATACACAAGACAAAATAACAGAGATTGAGGAAGATGTGAATAGAAAAATCGAAATTTTAAGAGAAGAAATAGCGAAGTCAAATTCACCAAAATGTCAAGAAACATCGGAGGTGCCGAAACTAGTGGAATATAAGTATATCTCAAAGTCAGTTATTAAGCCTCCACAGTTTGACGGAAAAACCGCTTGGGCCAATTATTTTGCCAGTTTGAGGCCGCTGCGAGAGCGAACGAATGGACAATCGCTGAAAAGGCTACTGCTTTGACTGTCGCACTGCGAGGAGATGCGACTGATATCCTGCAGACATTGTCACCATCGGAACAGGAAGATTATCAGCAATTGGTACGACATTTAAAAATGAGGTACGGCCAAGCTTATTTGGAACATGTCTATCATTCCCAGCCAAAAAATCGCATTCAAAAGTCAAATGAGTCTCTGCAGGAGTTTCAAGCCGACGTAGCCCGCCTCGTTCGCCTTGCGTACCCTGCTACGCCAGAGAATGTTATGGAGCGGTTGGCAGTACAGGCATTCTCCGACGGCTTACGGGATAACGAGACAAGACAAGCACTTCTCCTAGCCCAACCAACGCACTTGGTGGATGCTTTAGCACGTGCCCTAGAATTTGAGGCCGCGAAACAAAGTTCTCGGTCTCTAGTGAGAGTACGGTCAACCAATGTTCCGACGAATCCGTGGAAAGCATTGTGCGGAAAGTCATGGAGGAGTACATGGGCAAGAAAGGACCGACTTGTTGCTGGAATTGCGGCCAGGCAGGACACGTAAGAAGTCACTGTAAAGAAAAGGACGTGGACCCGGTTTCGCCAAGTGTCGAATCAAAGGGACACATATCGAGCAGTACCCAACAGGTTCCAACGAAAACTGCTCAAGTCGCATCGCTACAACACAAATTCAACAGCATTTTTGTGGATGGTTTTGTTGATGGAGAGTTCCGGACTATGCTGTTGGATACAGGTGCGACGAAAACTATCATCAGACCGGACATTCTTAAAACATCGAAGAAGGTTAAAACAACACAATGGCGACTACGTACAGCTACAGGAAGCTCCGCTCTCATCCATGGATAGGTAGATCTTAATTTTGTTATCGGAAGCACCTATTTTAATCATCGAGTGTTAGTAGCAGACATCGAAGATGAACTTATTCTCGGAATGGACATCATGACCACTAGAGGTTTTGAGCTAAACCTCAAACAAGCGAATTTTGAAAATAAAATGAAGAAGAAGTGGTTCTGCATCGAAAATGTGAGGAGACACTTCGCGTGGTGGTAGCAGAAGATGTTTCGATCCCTGAGCGCTGTGAGATATTTTTGGATGGTTGCCTAGAAGGTAAAATGAATAATGGGAGTATTATTCTGTTGGAGCCAAGGAACCATGACAGCGAAATAGGACGAGGGATCGCTGTTGGAAAAGCCCTGCTACGAGCGAAGAAAACTGTACCGGTGAGAGTAATGAACACGATTTATTATTCTGTATCCTTGAAGAATGGAACCCTCTTAGGGTACTGTTGTTCTGTCTCCTCAGTCGTTCGAAGCGTGGAAGCCTCCAAAGTTTCGACTTCAAAAATTCCGGACAAAATGGTGAAGGAGTTAGTAAACGTTAAGGGATTATCTCCCCCAAGACAGTAAGAAATTGAGAAACCTGATAAGCAAGTATCAAGATGTGTTTGAAAAAGGAAAAGCAGGACAGAGAGGTCGTACCAATTTAGTACAACATAAAATTGATACAGGAGATGCACGACCAATCAAAAAAAATCCGAGAAGACTTCCGCTCGCCAAACGTGAAGAAGCTGGCAAAATCCTTCGAGAAATGAAAGAAGAGGGTGTCATCGAACCATCTAACAGCCAGTGGACATCGCCGGTAGTACTAGTAAAGAAGAAACACGGTACCACCAGGTTCTGTGTTGATTATCGGCAGCTCAATAATGTTACCCAGAAGGATAGTTATCCCCTGCCGAGGATAGACGATACTGTAGACACGCTGCCGGGGTCAACGATATTCTATACGTTAGATCTGAAAAGTGGATATT